TATCGATCGATGTAGTACATGAGCAATTAAGAAGCACAATTTATGAGCAAAGTATTTCACCAGTTGACGACACTATGGCTGAAGACTTGATTGTAAGCCGTCATAGTCAGTGAAGCGAACAACTCAGTTGCCGATGAATGGCAGATGAATCCTGATGTGACGCACGTCCATGAGCGAGGGACGTGACAACTTTGCCATGTTAGAAGACTGGCTTTTCCTTTAAATATTTCCTTCTATTTAATGCAACACACGCCACTTTGGAGATCTAAATTTCGGATACTGAGGATAAAGAAGACACGGACAAAAATAGGAACTCTGAGAATTTCGCACACAAGTTTAAAGCTTCTCCGGGACATCCCATCCGGGAGCTTCACAGACAGCGACTTGAGGAAAATAGGAGCTATTACTGACAAGGTTTGGGGACTGAGTAGAGCATACAAGTGTAGCCCACGTCGAGGTTTCAGGGGGTTTGCTTTTGTTTGTATCTGTATCTTGCTAAGCTTTTGTCATTAAATTTGTACAAGATCTTGTGATCACAATTCTGTGTTTTCGCCCATTCAGCAAGCACGTTATATTGATGTTAGCATTAGCGAGTTTCAGAAACATGCCTTTGAAAATTTTCAGCTCTCGTGATGTTTCTTGATATTTCTTTTACTATTTTATGGAGATGTAAACTGAAGTCACCGCAAAATGGAAACTTAAAAAAGCGTATAATCCATTTATCTCGAAACATAACACACATGACTTATACGACCTTTATTTTGAATACGAACGAACACAGTCAATGTGAGGGGCAAAAACAGCATTAATACAAATGAACCATAGGATTTAACTAATATAAGGGTCAATTATTGTGCATTGAGATGAATCGCTTAAAAAGAGAGACTTCGCTTGAAGATGTGATCAGAAGTAAACAAAGGCATAATAGTGCGTCACGTTCAGTCTTTTTAATATCCAAGGAGTCACTGTGAATAGTGTTTCATTATTGTTTAGCTGGCACAAAAACCTCGCACGAGTTATAAAGCGACATAGTTATCTTCCATGAAGAAAAGTTAGTCTTGGGTGAGACAAACAGAACTGGAGCGAATTTTTAACTCACATCGGTATCAGTTAAAAAATATGTTACCCATCGTTTCATCTATTTACATTGTTTGAAGTGCGTGCTGGTGAATAGGCTTTTGTACATTATGCTTTTGCTTCTCCACTAAAATGCTCCACCTTAATGCTCCATTTTTCCCACTAAAATGCTCGGTCTCCCCCAAAAACGTCACTAAAATGCTCGGATAATGCTCATTATACAAACGGTTTTTTTAATTTATGTCAAAGTTTACACTTACAAAAACGTGCAAGTGTTGCAGGTAACAACCACAACGTGTACAAGTTCATAAATAGAGCCAAAAAAACAGCTGTGTTAGGTTTTTTGGTGAATTTTGAGTGTTAGTCTTCATTTTCTTTAAAAACGCAGGAGCCCGTGGGGCATGGGCTCCTGAAAAAAAGTTAATTTCTATTTTATTTTCTCGGAAAAATTAATTTTCGGGGAAAAATGCCACTAAAATGCTCCAATAATGCTCAATGCTTTTGCCTCACTAAAATGCTCCAAAAAATGCTAGCATAATGTACAAAAGCCTACTGGTGAACGCAACATGCGAGCGAGAAATCTTTAAACTTTTTTAGGTCTCAAAATGCAAAGGATTTTATTCCTTGAAGTTAGAGAAAAATACCGTGAGGAAAATCTTAAAACTGAATACTTTTCATCTTGTGGAAAAAATAGTGCGTTTTCATGTAGACTGTGGACCGCAAATTAGGATCGCACTTTTCACAAACATGCGAATTCTGAAGTTCAGAACCCAACCGACGATTGCGTCTTTCGCTGCTGTCAATCATCTTAACGGACCTCTTAGGAAACAAAACTTTACTTCACGGGTTCAAAACGTCATGGTTTGTGATTTGTGGATTTCGATCCGTTTTGTGTGTTTCTCTGTTTCAAGGTTAGGTCGTAATTATGATTGACGGCAGCGATAACCACAATTGTGAAGGTGGCTTTTGAACTTTAGAGTTCGCATGTTTGTGAAAAGCGCAGTAAAGTCTCCGTGCAGTCAGCGAGGCCCCTGGATCAGGCGGGATCAATGGGCAGTTAACTGTCTGTTTTAGTATACTTCTGGTTTTCATACAATACAATATTTCTGTCTAGTGTAAATCAGCTCAGTCTGTCACATTTTATGCTCGTAGAAGGACAAAAATTTTTGGAATTTCCGGTTACGTCAAATTAGTCACGTTATACTGTCACGCTATATTTTGGGGCACAGAGGGATTGGGGGAGGGGTGCGTGGAAATAATGCAAATTGTTTCCTGTTTATAATTAATGGCTAACTGGTTTATTTTTATTCATAGTTGTGGAATTAAAAAGTTATTATACAGCCCCCACTTAAAAATGGTACTCTTTTTTTTTGGTTTCAAAAGGGTACAATGTTCTGAATGAGTTTATGTTTCAGTCTCACATGAGATTCTGTTGCATGCAATGGTTGCCGACAAGGTTTTATGGTAGCCTGAGTGTGTTAGCCGCCCCCTCCCCTCAGAAAAAATAGCCCGTTTACAGCCCAGTTAAAAATCGCCTTTCGGCGATTCTTGTTGTTTGTCTGTAACACTGTTAGGATTAGTCAAAATCGGTTGCTAAACGAGGTACCAGTGGAAAATTCAAACTTTGCTGACACAATAGCTAATTACCATTGGTCCAGGAAGAAAAATATGCATGGGTCCATAAGCGGACCAAAAACGACCAAAGCGGACGTCAAAGAGTTAAAGTAAGTTGTAAATAACATGCAATTTCCTGTTTAGAAAAAATACAAAAATCAATAAATAGGGGCCCAATTAGCCTCCTCCGCACTCGTTCTCTAAAAGAGGACAGTGAAGACCGCGGAGGAGGCTGGGGCACAATAATATTAAAACAGATTAAGGCGGAATCCATCAGGAAATTTTCTCGGGCTCCCATAAGAAATTTTCTTTCGTACCAGTTATTACAGATGACAAATTACATCTTTAGTCCTTGAAAATGAAAAAAAAGAACACAATATGCTTTAAATTATTCTGGTACAAGGTTTTTGTCCACTGAAAATTAATAATACTCAATTTCCTGGTGGATTCCGTCTTAAAATAATTGCGAGGCTACTAGCCAATACGTCAATCGGCAGATTTCCGTTTCTTTTCAAATTGTTTGGCCAAGTTTTCATGTAAATTATGTGAACGTTTTCATAAATCCATTTGAAAAAATACGATAAATTGACCTTTGAGTACTGTGAGGGTGCGTGTAGCACCTGTAAAAAGGTTATTAATTTTTTCAAAGCTTTGCTAGGGTAGGGTAGAATAACATGTGAGTGAGGTCAAGGTGTGGGGTGTAACGTTTATGTTTATTACAGACGGCTTATGCAGAGAGGGGGAGGGGATGAAGGAGGAAATGTTTTGCAGACATATTACAAAGGACTTGGTCCACACCCTTCCCCCGGATAACAGGGACCTTAAGATCCGAGCGGGATTCGCCTTCTTTCAAACTTCATCACGATTATTCCAACTCACTTTCTTTGTCAAATATAGGCGAACGTTCCAGGAGTCGACCTCCTAAGAACCATATCCAAGTTCAGACAGATAAAAGGAAATTTTGACGTCGCTTACGTCTCCATAAAACGAGAAATTAGGCATTTTCACGTCGTTTACGTGTAGTGACTGCAAAGANCATAAATCCATTTGAAAAAATACGATAAATTGACCTTTGAGTACTGTGAGGGTGCGTGTAGCACCTGTAAAAAGGTTATTAATTTTTTCAAAGCTTTGCTAGGGTAGGGTAGAATAACATGTGAGTGAGGTCAAGGTGTGGGGTGTAACGTTTATGTTTATTACAGACGGCTTATGCAGAGAGGGGGAGGGGATGAAGGAGGAAATGTTTTGCAGACATATTACAAAGGACTTGGTCCACACCCTTCCCCCGGATAACAGGGACCTTAAGATCCGAGCTGGATTCGCCTTCTTTCAAACTTCATCACGATTATTCCAACTCACTTTCTTTGTCAAATATAGGCGAACGTTCCAGGAGTCGACCTCCTAAGAACCATATCCAAGTTCAGACAGATAAAAGGAAATTTTGACGTCGCTTACGTCTCCATAAAACGAGAAATTAGGCATTTTCACGTCGTTTACGTGTAGTGACTGCAAAGAAATCTGCAAATAACGTGTTGATCGCGAGCACTTACTGTTTTGCCCGAAATAAAACGTCTGGCTTCGTTGACGTTCTCGTTGCCGTCGCCTTCATCGAATCTTACGGTTCCTAATAACTAATGAGAGGCCCTTTATACTAAGTAAAATATAACTTCTAGGACAAGCATGTCCAAACAGGCAATAAAAGAGAAAAAAGCCTCAGTGTTTAATTACGTTGAACGAAGGTAATTTTTAGCCAGTTGCTATACCAAAGAACAATACTCACTTAGCAGCTAGGCACTCACGTACAGGCACTCGCCATGCTTGTGAGAAAAGACAAACAAAGGAAATTGTTTTTTTAAATGATGTGAGCCCTTTGTTTGTCTTATCCCAGCGCGTCCTTGCTCTCCGACGCGGCGGTTTTGTACCGCTTAAATGACTAGGTGCAAAGGGTCCTTTGTTTATTGACACGGCGGTTTGCTATTGCTTATTGAACGCACCATACAACAGAAAGAATTAAAATGCGTATTACATAAATGTTATTAATCTATAAAAACCTATTTTTTTCACAAGATTTAAATATCGAGATCACCTGAAGATCGACAAAAATGATCATTGTAGCGGTTAACTCTGACTCTTCTACTTATGTATCTAAAACGTTTTCCAACCTTAAAATAGGCATAGCGGTCGTTGAAGGTTGTATAGTAGATCCGCTGAAATGCTATAGAACGCTAAGCAAGCGCACGGACGTATTAGGCAAGTGACTGCTCAGTGCAGTCGCCATCTTTGAATAAAAGCACAAGGAAATTAGGATCAGTAGAGAATTCTACGAAACTGCCCACAACTACCCGTCCCAACTCAACATCTTGTCCTACGTGAAAAGTTAGTGTTGATAGGCTGATATGGAAAGGACAACACAGAGGCAAATGAGACCATGGCGCGAAAACGCGCGGGAAGGACTGAACGACTTCCTGTGCCTCGTTTCCCGCCCTGCCATTGGCCAAGCTCTGTGCGTGCCGTGGGGAGTAACTGCCTGCTATGTTCACACAATACTGGATATCTTTTGCGCGGGTACGAGAACTATACCGGATAGGGCTTCAGTTCACACACACCAACGGGGATTTCGGCGCGAAGTTGCGCCCGGTCAATCGCGAAGGTGGGGCGTCGGCATATCGAATAGCTTATGTGTCAGACTATGGTGCGGTGTAAAGCAGGTATTCAGACCTTCGCGAAAGTGAATAAGTAGGAAAGAGGACTGGAGTCCACTGAAACGGAAGCAAATATTCCTGAGTAAGGAATGGAATTACTTCACCAAACCCTCACCTTGAACGGCTCCGGCACGATGTTCGATGTGTATGAACCACTTGTTCCAGTTCTGTGCGCGCCGTTGCTGAGTGTTCATACTATACTGCACCAGCCGACATGAAAGGCTATCCAGTATAGGGTGAACATTGCCTAAATCTGCCTAATGTTGAGATGAGTAGGAACCCTGAATCTTATAATGATCCGAATATTGGGGAGAGTACGACACGTACACCCGAGCGAATTTTAGTGCTTACCCCCTCCCCCGTTAAAAACGCCTGCACTGCAGACTTGACATTATGACGTACGCACGAGCGTAACACCTAAAAAGGAAGAAATCGAGCCCTTTGGGCGTGTTCCTGTAATCATGCATCTACTACATAAGAAGCAAGGATAGGATATGCATTCAATAATGGGGAGCTTGAGGAAAAGTCTTTTTGGCGTCGTCAACCAGAAGTGAGTCCTTCCCACTTCCTGTGAACGTGCATCGTGAAAAAAAAAACATCTTTGCTTAATCTCCCTATATCTAAGTCTTCAACCTCGCCGTCCAAACCATGATCTCTTAAAGAGCCATATTTGAGAAACCAATTCTCAGGCAGCACTTCTTGCGACTCTTAAGTTTCCAATCGCGAAGAAAAACCTCGTTTCAGTGACGGTACGTAATCTGATTCAGTAGCGGTTTTTTTCTTCATTTTTGAATCAGGCAAAACCAAATCCTTCGCTTCCTTCGTTTATTGCCAGCAACAGTTTCTTCTGCATTTCCTTGAACGATGAGTAAGACGGTAAACAAAGCTGGTTGAAGCTAAAGAAAGAAAAGACGGTAACACCCGGTTAGCTCTGTTGGATAAGCTCGGTCTATCCGGAGAGACAGGGAGACCAGGGATTCAAACCCCGACCGGAGCAACACTCAGGGTCTTTCAATGGCTGAGCAGAATCTGCTGCCTTTTTTAAAAAAATCTGAAAACGGTTTGAGTTCTAGTCTTCTCGGATAAGGACAATAAACCATAGGCCCTGTCTCACAACCCTTGCACGTATCATCATTTCTGCATGTAGGAAGCTAAAGAACCCACACACTGTTCGTAGACAGTAGGGAACGTAGTACCCGGTGTGGTGGTCTACTTTTACAGCAAGTGGTCGGCCTTGCTACTTTAGCTTAAAGGGCTCCTGAGCAAATGAAAATGAGACCACAATANTCCCTATATCTAAGTCTTCAACCTCGCCGTCCAAACCATGATCTCTTAAAGAGCCATATTTGAGAAACCAATTCTCAGGCAGCACTTCTTGCGACTCTTAAGTTTCCAATCGCGAAGAAAAACCTCGTTTCAGTGACGGTACGTAATCTGATTCAGTAGCGGTTTTTTTCTTCATTTTTGAATCAGGCAAAACCAAATCCTTCGCTTCCTTCGTTTATTGCCAGCAACAGTTTCTTCTGCATTTCCTTGAACGATGAGTAAGACGGTAAACAAAGCTGGTTGAAGCTAAAGAAAGAAAAGACGGTAACACCCGGTTAGCTCTGTTGGATAAGCTCGGTCTATCCGGAGAGACAGGGAGACCAGGGATTCAAACCCCGACCGGAGCAACACTCAGGGTCTTTCAATGGCTGAGCAGAATCTGCTGCCTTTTTTAAAAAAATCTGAAAACGGTTTGAGTTCTAGTCTTCTCGGATAAGGACAATAAACCATAGGCCCTGTCTCACAACCCTTGCACGTATCATCATTTCTGCATGTAGGAAGCTAAAGAACCCACACACTGTTCGTAGACAGTAGGGAACGTAGTACCCGGTGTGGTGGTCTACTTTTACAGCAAGTGGTCGGCCTTGCTACTTTAGCTTAAAGGGCTCCTGAGCAAATGAAAATGAGACCACAATATGGGTACAGCACAAAGTCAAGCTATTTGCCGAGTGCTGGAACCTTCTCTCAGGGACTGGGAAGACAGGAGCACAATGAGGACAATTTTCACAAACGCGTTCCACAGAAATTTTTCTTTTCCTCCAACAATTAAGGAAGAATTCTTTAGATAATACATCCTTTCTGCAAGTCTCAGCTTCGTTCACAAAAAAAAACCCGACTGAGACGGCGGGGGGAGGGGGGAGTGGTAGGGGAGAGACACGAAAAATACGATATTTCACCCACCAGGTATGTGCGGTAGGCAGTGCGTCTGCTGTGGGAGCTGAAGAGATCTGTATTGGTGGAGAAAGTTCAGCAAATCCTCCAGGAGGCAGCTGAGAAGATCCTGTAATGAACTGAACCAACCGGGCAAGTTCTTCTTGAGTAAAGCTAGTCACTATCGTCCAAAACCAATCCAGAGTCTAAGGAGAAAAGTGAAATTAGCGCTTTTCATGAAAGTCGTTTCTGCGCTTCAGAACACTAATTATTCTGGCCGATAACAGCAAGGGCAGACAATCCAATAAACCAATCAGAGCTCGAAACAAAAAAACCAGCGACTAAGCGCAGGAAAATGCGCGAAACAAAGTCGGAAAAGATTTCGACATTGCTCCTATTAGTCGAAAAAATAGCGCAAAATTTGTTACGCAAACGCTTCCACTAGTTGTGCAACGTAAAGATGGAAAATTAACCACGTGTTGGAAATAGGTGTTAATACATCTTCACTCATAAATATATACACGTTGTATGAGCTCCTATTTATTGCTAGATAACAGGGCGCTGTAATACAGCTGTCACATACGACAACTCATACAGTGGCATTCCAGCCTCACTGAATAAATAACCTGCGATACTAATAATGAAGACTGTTCATTACCTTTCCAAAGGACATCCCGCTGTTTATAACGCTGTGGTTTTGTCGGAAATCTGACACACTAATATTTCCTGTTCCACACATTAGAAGCTGGCAAAAAAAATAATAACAACATAAAAAGTCACATGTTTAAATTACATTGCAAATGCAATTCGATGAGAAGACTGCCCTCTCAAGTCAGGGACAGATTACATAATCAAAAATGAGCGCCTGGAGGATAATGGCAAGAACGAAAAGACCTCACTTCTCCACTTTGCTATTCCCATTGTTCCTTGCGCGCCCTCTTTTGTCCTCTCTAGAGCCTTGCACTGGCTCAAGAACAGGGCTTTGCGTTTGAGTTCAAGAGCGTCTGAAATCATATGAATTATGAACAAAATCGGACCGGCGAGCGCGAGTATGATTACAAAACTGGACGACAAAAATTTCTGTTGCCGATTAATCATTAAAATAATAAGCAAAATTTGAGGTTAATAACAATTTGTAAAAGTTTCAACTTTTTTTTAGATAAAACAAAAAGACCTTTTTTAGCAAGAGGTGAGGAAAAAAGTCCTTTTTAGTGCAAACGTGCTATTACAGCGCCCGCAATGTCTCGCGCTGTCTAATTACATTGTCCTACTAAATTAATAATTAATGGTATAATCATAACTATAACAAAATTGTCAAATCTGATTGGCTATCAACTGCCCTGATTTCAGCCTTAATTGGACAGTTTAATAGGACAGTACGCGTCATGCCTAAGTAATTGGACAGTACGCGCCATCACGCGCCCGCTTAAATGGCCTTTTTATTCACTGCTAGCAAAACAAAATTTCGACTTTCTTGTGTTTTGATTTAAAAATGGCCTATTATATCACAAATTTTGTTAAAGTTATGATTAATTGGTAACAGACCTTCGTGTCGTCCAATTCGGTCTGTAATCATACTCGTGATTAAACAAATCGGACTCCCGCTACGCTGCCGTCCGCTTTTGTTAATCACTCGTATGATTACAGACCGAATTGGACTCCACGCAGTCGTGTTACCATTACAAATCAGCTCTGCTGGTGGCCAATCAGATGTGAGGATTTTGTTATAGTGATAACGAAGTTTTAAATAGGATAAGCACGGCACTCACTTCTAATTCGTATTCATCAAACACACTGAGAAGACTGTCTGGAACCATTTCATTTAAACCTATACAGAGTAGAAAAAGTTAGTTAAAGGCTTATTCATGGTTTTCACATGACGTCACGGCGGCCATGTTGGTACACCAAAAAATTCCAGTGAGGTCCAGTGGGGATTGAACACTTTTCTTATGTAAAATTTTCGCTTGTTTCAAGAAATTTGAATAATTACTGATCAAGTTAGAGAAAGCGACCTGGTATACTGTACGCAACGTATTGATGGACTTGTCAGAGGAGCAGTGGTTGGTTTTAAGAACTTCCTGGATCGTTACTTAAGCACCTTTTTATCACTTACACAATAAACCATTATTATTGCCCAATTATAAACAAAAATTCATTAAGTAAGTTCACCGATCGAATTCCTGGACCATTGCCAGTGGTCCACTTAGTTTCTATAAATAAATTCCTGATCGATTGAAATTTGAAAATGATGATTTTTGAGGAGAGGGGGAAAAACCAAGCACCCGGAAAAACGGAACCATCGGAGAAGAGAACCAACAAAAACTCAACCCACTATTCGCCACTTTAAAAACGAGAAGGGAACTGGAGCCGAAATGCGTCCCGCAATTGATTCTGGGATCGTATCGATCCATTGTTTCTCTGTCCCTAGTAACAGTCCCAGAAGTCTTTGAGAAAGTTAACTCGGGCCAGGTCCCTTCTCGTTTCTGAAGTGGAGAATTTGAGTGGCGATAAGAAAAGGTGAACCTTTTGCAAAAGCCTCAATCTCCTGCTTGACGGAAGAGGACAGACGATACTGCGCTAACAGATCCAGATATTCTTTCTTGTTTGATTCTGTTACCGGGATCTGAGCACCACCCGGCTTCAATTCAACCATCTGCAAGAACCAGACAAGGTTATAGTTGTTGCTTACCTCAAATGAAAATTGTCTTTAAAAGAGAATTGATGGTTTTCTGAGGGCAAATTACGTGGAAGCCCGATGGAACGAATTACAAGGGGACTGGGATGTTCAGTATAACGGGAATAACTTATACCGGGTCCTTTTCATGCATTTTGCCACAAAAGGGGTGGGGGGAGTCGTTTGTTCTGCTGGGGTCTTCGTTTTATTACAGTTCGACCGATTAGAACCTATATCACCCCTTTTTTCCGCCTGCAAAGTTTGCATTTGGGTGGCGGAAAAAAAGACAAGAGTGTCATAACTTCCGAGACCAAATTCGTGGCGCATAAAACAGCCAATGATGGTGTAAAATTTAGTTATTCTTTCGTCTGGCTGACATTTGGTCTTCTGTGCCTCGTTTCAAGGTATAGACAAATAAAAGTTGTTGTGAATTCTGTAGATACAATTGCGACAAAGAGAGCTAACTAACATAAATATAAAAGAACAGTAATATTGCCACCATCTTGGAAAAAGGTTTAAAGGCATCAAATTGCTGTTTTAAGAAAATACATTTACGAAAAGTTTTATGGAAGTTAAACTTTGGGCTAAAAAGCAAGTATAAAAAGTGAAACCGCGCGAACGAAGCTTTTCAGCTGAGGAAAACACAGCTTGCTGCAGAGGTTATCAAAATTCTGTAAACGCTGTTTGCTTACTCTAGAGACTCTGGGATGGAGCGTCATCTTACCTTCTCTAAGCGCCCCTGCATATCGTACTCCTCTTCAGCGAAAACCAGTCCCAGGTCCTCCGGGTCAGTCTCCTCGATGTACTTGATTTTACTCCGATAAAGCTGCTTATCGTCACTTTCAAAATACTGCGGTTATGAACAACAGACAGAGTGTCGAAATTCAGACAATGAGGGAAAGCGGTGGCTACTAACTTACACAGAGAAACGGTAAAACAGACCAAAACTTCTAAACACAGTCGAACCTCCCGTAAGCGACCACCCAAAAAGCGAAGATTTAGTGCTCCGCAATTACAGCAAGAGGTCGCTTACGAGAAAAAAACCACAGGGTGTCTCTTGTGATAAGCTCACTTGCAGATGACAAAGATCACGCGATTCAAAATAGTCGCTTATAAGACAAGTTGCTAAAAAAATAAGCACGATAAGAAGGAAGACATGGGGATTGTGATGTCTTACCCTGTAACAGACACGAAGACCAAGAAGTTGAGCTAAAAACGATCTGGTGAACCTCGCTTTCACGTTGAGTCTTCGGCCTGAGCCCAAAGCAGATTCGTACAAACATTTTCCGACAATGCGCCCAGCAAACTCATAAAACTTTAACTTCATTCCAACAGGCCTTTTGGGGTTCGGGTGAACCTACAAGGAGGAAACGACAAAATCAGTAATCAACTGGGAGTATGGAAAAGTCGTTGGTGTTCCTTTGCAAAGAAAGCAGTGATGGCGGGCGCATGCTGTCAAATTGGCTCTATTTTTCCCGGCCTCAATACTGTTTTCTCCCCTTCGCCCCCCCCCCCCCCCCCCCCCCCCCCCGCCCTTCCAGGGCGGTGCACCTTGGTACTGGTTAGCTGGGGTGGAGATTTCAGTTCGTATTTACAATGATTCGCACGAAAATCCAACGATACCACGGTCTCAGCTAAAATTCAGTCTCCATTAAATTAAGCAAATTAGTGGCCGAAAGAAATTAACGGTTTTGTTTCAAATAGTTTTTAGCTGCAATCCAGATTGTGAATCAAACCCTCTAACGCAAAAACACGAGAAATCCACGTGTAGTATAGCCTGAAATTCATCCGATTGCTTCGAGTCGTTTTCTCCTCTCAACAACGTCTGAATCGACGGGCCGTTAATGCCGTCCAGTGACGTCATTCACTACCCGAAAACCGGGTAGTGATTTTGATTGGTTGATTGTCTAAACATTCGCATAATTATGTATAATTATGAAAAATTTTAGCGGGATTGTCGCTTGATATTCAGTGGATCGCATCCCCGGCATTCTTTCGTTTAGTTCAAACATTTCGATAAGCTTAATCTTTATCTTAAAAAGCAAAATTGCCCTTGTCTTCGAAACTGAAGTGCTAAATTGAACTGCGAATGAAGAATCATTGCGGAGAGTGGGTAGGTTTTTCATTTAGAGCCGCTTTGTGGTTTCAGCGGCCGGTGATTTTGTTTACGCGAAGTTTTCTGAGATCAATGTTATAATTCGACCTTCTTGCTATTTTTACCGTCAAGTGTAATGATTCTGTTAGCTTTTCTTTCTTGTCTCCTTGTTTTTTTTCTTCGTTAATTAAAGCAAATCATTGTGTTTTTGAACTAAGTGTTCCGTGTGTGTGTTTATTTCATTTGCGTGATTGCGACCGAGTTTGATATTTATAGATAGTACAACCGGTTCAGAGTTGTATTGCATGCAGTTGATAGTTTGAACGTTAAACATGAATTACAATCCAAAAAAATAAAGCAGTTCTGTATCATGCAGACATTTCCAAACGTTACTTCTCGGTTTGCCACTTGAAAATCGTGTTTTACTTTTTGCATGAATTAAAGCAAAGGTCAAGGACTAGTGACGTCACTGGACGGCATTAACGGCCGGTCGATTCAGACGTTACTGAGGGAGTAATAACGACTCGAAGTAATCGGATGAAATTCAGGCTACGTGTAGTACAATGAAGCAAAGATGGTCAAAGGTTATGAACACAAATTAAGCAATCCTAAACAATTTACTAGGATCTTGTTATCAGGCAAGAGTTCGACAAGCTCGTGAACCTGTCATTCTTTTCTGCTAACTGACAAACACCAATATACCCTGAAGACAACAATCTCACACCTACCAGTGCTTGGGGATCGTCGGCGTTGAATCGAGTGAAAAAGCCACTTTCATGAGAAAACAGAGCTTTACATAACAACTCCACCCACTCGCGTCGCAAGCCACCCCAGTCAACACCTAGTGAAAAAAAGCTACACGTAAACAAATGAAAACAAAAACGAAATAAACAAACAAAACAAATGTTGTAGTTACAGTCGACTCTCTCTTAACGGACACCCCTAGAAGATGAACACCTCTGTAAAACGGACACTTATGGTTTGTTCCTGCCTTTCTTTATTCCCTTTATTTGACTCTCTGTGAGATGGACGCCTCTCTAAGAAGAACACTTAGCGCAGGTCCCTAATCGAGAAGTTACAGTTAGCTCTCTCTTAACAAACACTTCCGTAAGACGGACACATAGAGTTGGTTTCTGCCGCACTTCAGTCCTTTTCTTTGACTCTCTGTTCGGTAGGCACCTCAATAAACCGCACACCTAGAGTTGGTCCCTTCTCGGTTCTTCAATCCTTTTCTTTGACTCTCTATAAGGCTTAACCTCTTACCAATTTCTCCTTTGAATGTGATGTGGAAAAGTCGCAGCCAGTCACTCGAGTATAGAGTTTTGACAGTAGCTTGGTATGACTGAAAAGAAAAAAAGAGAAAACATTCCAAAATCCTCGTAAGAACAATCAAAACATTTGTTGGACATTGTAGGTGATTAACCTGGGAAGTTACTACAAAACCTTGTGTTCGGGGATGCTTTGGACTACCCAGAGGCCCAGGCCCAGACCCTTACCCTTCTATACACCATTTTTTTTTGCAATCAAAAGGTTACCCTTCCAAGGGACTTTACGTAGATAATGATTCCGCTTTTCATCGGAAAGCTTACGCGACGAATCCCCATAACAATATCCTTGGTTTACAACCACGTGAAAAGATGCCATGTTGGTGGACACAACAGTAAATTTTTTGGTTCTTGCAGAATTCGGATAAAAAAGAGTCTTTTTCATCCAAATTCTGCAAACTGAGTTTAGTTCTCAACGGAGGGAGACGCCGCGCTTGTTCTTATCAACCAACATGGGCGCCGTGACATCAAGCAATGAGGCAATTTCATAACTATTACACTGTAACGGAACGCACATGAAGTTACTCTTTTGTTATGAAATCACAAAGGTAAAGGTTTGTAACGTCTTATTACATTCTATCACACTGAAAACCGCGAAGTTATAACAAAATCGCAAGGATTTACAAAGGGTTTCGACGATCCACACGACAACTTGAATTGAAATAGCTTTATACTGAAAGTTTAATAATTCACTTTTCCCTTACCGTAAGGGAAAAGTGAATGACTTGCACAACCCCTTTTTAAATCTTTTAAACGGAATAGTCGTTAAGTGTGCCTCTCCCAGATACTTTAAAAGGCGTTAGGTTTCCTGACCCATTTTCATAACTCATTTCGTGAAATCCCCACCATTCTAAAACCTCTGGCCTGGAAAAAGCTGACCCCTTTCGGGCGGAGCATCTCCCAAAACGAGCACTATACAGTACCTCCCCCGAGGTGTCTAACTGTTGAACAACTTACACTCTCTAGCAGCTTATGACGATCAATCCTCAAGTTTACTTCTCCAGCTTTTTTACCGTGATATACTACAAGTTCACGATAAAAGAAATCTTGTTTATCCTTAAAACTTTCCGATCCACCTAAGAGAAAAGAAAAAAAAAGTCCATCTTGCAAATCGTTCCAGACTAAAAAGGCAATGGCCCAATGCAAACAATTTGGAAAAAATTCAAAAACGGTGTTTTCGATCGCAAAAGGGAGAAATTGTTTTGGTGTTCATTTTGTTTTCACCATCTAAATGATTGCTGAAACCCTTAAACACTTCGTAGAGCGTGAGCATGTACACAGTACATAAGACGAGCTGTTATAACACAAACCTTTTCCGTTCCGTGTCCGTTTTCCACCCTCCACTCCATTGTATCAGGCCGGCGTTTTAAAAGTTAACAATTTGGAGAGTGCTTTTCAAAATCACGGTGGTATTCATTTCGCGCCGGTCAAATTTAAGACTCTGCTGGCTAAAAAATTGACCTGGATTTCGGTATTGTTCAAATTTTTGAACGGCTAGGCGTCTCCGAATATCGTACGGCTAGCCTTGTTCCATAACACCTAAACGCATGTCCGCTAATTTTCAACAGGTCGGAAATTCGTTCGCTACTGCGTGCCGGAACTTATAGCCTGAACCTGCTATTTTGACATTCTCGTTGCCGTCTTCGTCGTGGTCGCTTAAGTTCGACAATAAAGAGACCTTTATATTCTAAGACGAGGACGACTACGAGTACGAGATTTTCCCAATACTGAGTAGTGCGCGATTGCGAACCAAAGTCATTTTGGCGGGAAAATGTGATAGCCATCGTCATTCTACTACGAGTTTTCGCGCGAATGTCGTGGTGGCGAAAACAAGTTATCAAATGTTAGGAATTTTCTCATTTAGCGAGCGGGAGAGGGCTTTATCCCCTTCAACGGAAATAAGCGATCTATAACTTTTGTGGTGAAAAAAAGGACAATGATGCTTTCCGGGGTGTCTATTTTTTAGAGAATAAGCGAGAAACTTAAAATTTAATGTCGTCCTAGTCCTCGAATCTAAAGATTACTTAAAAAGTCAATTCGCGCCGCTTCAAACCGGTTTTATCGCGCTTATTCCATCTCCTTCAATTCGTCAAATGTTGGCGGCACTTTTTTCCTGGAGTTGAACTCTAAAGGTGACGTTACACGAGACGATTCGCAACGCAGCGTTGCAACATTGTTTTGACATTGTTTCGAATGGTTACAACATTGTTCCCGCATTACAACACTGCGTTGCGCTAAAAATCGTCGTTGCGAATCGTCCCGTGTAATATCACCTTTAGATTGGCAAAATAACAACTTTTCTGGGTAGTGCTTCTGATTGGATGAAGCAAATTTTCAACCAATCAGAAGCACTTCCCAGATCTGGGTAGTGACACGTCATCAGTATGGAATTTCCGTGCTCGTTCCTCAGACGTAATTTCGCAGGGAAACCAGTGGTAGCGTCACCAAATGTCGGCTGTTTTCTCACGCGAACTGAGGTCGTTTCGCCTGAAGGCGTTCGCCAGGACTTAAGTCGATTCGCTCGATGACATACAACACTCTACAACATGGTGAACCTACTTCTCTGAGATGTTATTTTAGTTAACCTTGGATTCCACATGTGCAGTCACTGTCTTTCCATGCTTATTCCTTCTTCTCAGGCAGAGGCTTAAAAACGACAAATACACATGGGGCGAATCGATCTTCGGGCGAATCGACCCGACACTATGAATACTGACCTATTCTAGTGAGCAAGAGTCTTGAGAATGTAGCGACCAAGACATTCCTTTCTTTACACATGACAGTAACTGGAGGCTGCGCGCCATCATCTACAGTGAAGATTGGGTGCTCTGCATTGGGGTTAGGGGCGTGTAAGATGATCTGAAAAAGGAGAGATATGTTGTCAGACATACACTATACCCACCATTAATTTGTCTTCTAGTTGGCCAAGAGCCTGCCTAGAAACCCTAATAGAAACCTTTAGATTTTAAAACGAGGACAACTACGAGGACTACCACCCTACAACTTTACCATGCATTAATTTACCTGTATTCATGCGGTTAGTCAATCACAAGAAAAAAAAGTGGAAACTGAGGAAAGTAGATACCTTTGTAGTGGGTCTGACACGAAATCCATATAATCGGTGAGGAATTATCTTCACATAAAATTCTTTTATTAACAATTGCTAAAAGACAAAAAGATATATTGTTAGTGTTTAATGTTTATCATTTGTCAACCTTTACTCTTTACTACAACGCAAGTGATCGTTTTGGTTTTTTTTAATCTGAATAACACTAAATCTAAATATTACCCTTCTAAAATACTATTAAAGTTTTAACACCATTTAAACTAAGCAAAACATTTCAAAATGAGTTTGCACTAATTTTGACGGACTCTATTTTTTAAGCATATTGAGCTAAAGTTGTGACAATAATGTTTGAAAGTCTTCAGAAGGAGTATCGAGGTAGAGCATTTGAAGAGTATAAATAAAGGTAGCTGAAGCAAAGACATTTTTGAGCAACGCACATCGACCGGAAGTAGACTTTTTAAATTCTTGGGCAGTGGTTTTGCCCAAATCTTCGAGCAAATCGTCTCTCCAGTTAGCAATACAAATTGGTAGCATCAAGGCATATTAAAAAGGAAACGGGGTTAGTTCCGGTTGGGGTGCGTCGCTTAAAAACGACTTTTCTTTAAAAGCTCTCTAATAATGAATAAATAATAAACTTCAAATAATTCTTACAGAATATATTTTCTGTGCAATGGTAAATTCAACCCATCCTATAAGTTATTCTACCTCCTAAAAAAAAACAATATTATTTTGATTACCTTTTTTGTAATGTAGCAATAAACCTTTTGAGATTTTTTCAGGGCAGTGCCATTCCATGCAAGAGATGTGGTAGTAGGATAAGCGATAAGTTGGCCAGGGTTACTAGGAGTGGGGGTGGGCAGGGTCAACAAAGATTCATCTCTTGTCAGCAGGAAAGCCTCAAACCAAACATTCCAACACTGCCTCTTAATATTTTTGTTGACTTGATCAATTTCTTTAGCTTTTAAGAGAAAAGAGAACCATTACTTTTTGTAATGGTGAATATATGAATTTCATATATTGGAACTGCAGAATGAAGAAATAAATGCAAAGGAGATCATCGCAGTTAAAGATGCAACCATGCAGTTGCAAAAAGAAACCTGAAAAAATGTGTCAGTAACAGCACTAAATGCTACTTGTACTAAGGTTTACAAGCCAAAAAAGAAATAAGAGGACCCAAAATAACCAAAGTCTGTGGTTTCTCATCAAGTTGATCCACTGTAGTGTTCAGTTTTTCATGTCTGAAGAAGTTTGCTTGCGATGAAAGCCCACATTCACTAATTACAACCCACCTGACTTTAAGCATATAGAATCTTGCTTAGATGGGTGCAAATTGACTTTGAAGCAAATCAATGTGTTACCACAAACAAATAGCCTGGAGCACTTAACTGGCTAACCACTGAAACAACATTTAGCACTAGCACCGAGTAATACAGGGATTCCAACCCTCCCATTTTGGTCAAAAACCTCCCATTTTCGGTGAATATTTCCCGCCCCTCGTTTTCACTCAGTATTCTCCCGGTTTTTGAAACTCTTTCATTTCTTTGTTAACCAGTCTTTTAGCATGCTTCTTTGCCACTTTTCTGTGGTTCTCAACCATTTTTACCCTTTTAGCATCCGACCATGAGCATGTGGTAATTTTGGGAGTGGTATTTCCATTAACTGTGATCTCAAAATGCAGGGAATGGCATCTTAGAGTCACATATCTTAAAATTTTTCCTAGGGGAGCATGTCCCCAGACCCCTTAAGGCTCGCACCTCCCTTTTTTTTAATTGACAGGGTTGAAATCTCTGGTAATATTATATAATAATAATAATGATAATATAATATTGTATTGTGAAAGGTTTGAACACAGGAATCATTTCAAAAGTAGGTTGAGTTTGATCGTCCGGGTGAACGTAGTCCTGAATAGGACTGTTGTTGTTGACAGTGACTGACGTTTCGACAACCTGTGCGGTAGTCATCTTCAGATGATAATAATAATAATAATAATAATATTGTATTATTATTAGTTTGTGGGTTTGTGGCTTGCTCGTGTAATTGAGTCACATTTGTGAGCCGGTTACTCTACACTTGGTGTTTAAGTCTTTGACGAAGATACAAACTTTGAATTACTCAAGTTCAGATTTTGAAACAACAGATGCACTTTTGTTATTTTGGGACCTAAAATGGAATAAATTCTAGGATATATAATTATATATAAAGAATTCTGCACCTAAAAAGAGCCTTTGGTATTGAAAAAAACAAACTTACCGTTTAAAGAGATGATTGTAAATTGGCCCTGGCTAAGTGAAAGCTTGTTGTACCTGACAACTGCATTAAAACAACCTTCTGTATCCAATTTAATATGCAGAATATAATTTTTATCATTCCCATCTGGCAGGATTACAAGTTCAGGGTCTGTCTTTATGCTGCTTCCAATCTGACAAGTAATGTACTGGCGTTAGCTAGGTTTCAGTCAATGGTACAGTCCACGCAGTCACCCTCCAAAAATCCTAAGGGTGGGTACTCCGCATTTATGGAGTTGGGGAAATGTGCAGGATTGTTCTGTTGTGTAAAAATCAGGCCTTTAAGATTTTTTTCTAACTAAAAAATTTTTTTGCAAAATTTAATATCTTTTTTGGCGGTTGTTTGATATTACCAGTGATGTTTTTTGTGGGGAGAGGGGTATTCAACAAAACTTGAAAAATTGTTGGCGAAAATAATGATTTTTGATTCATGAGTTTGGGATTTCTTTCTATCTAGCTAAAGAAAATTTTGACTTAACTTTGGGGTTGTTTGATTTGACATCATTCTCATTTAGGGGAGAAGGGGTGTTAAAAAATATTGGAGGATTTGTGGTATAAATAATAATGATAGTTATATGATTATATTCAGTACAAGCACACTTGTTGTTTAAAAAAAGAGGGTTTTAATATTCTGGGAAAACAGAGGTAGCAAAATAAATAATAAGCTAGCCTAATTTGCCCTACCTCGGTAACTTCAACACTGTATGAATGAACATCTTGTTCTGATAATGGACAAATGTTACCAAACTTGTCTCGTGCTTCTACGGTGAGAGGTGTATAGATACCCTGTTGAACCTCCAAAATTGATCCCCCTTCCAAAATAGTGCACTTTACTGGATCAACATTCCCTGTGGTTTAATAACAAGAGAGTTCTATTATTAAACTATTTCATTACTCAAATTGCTATTAAAAAAAATTATAACAAATCATTATCCAAAAGGAATCATGTGATGATACCACGCCAAAAATACTGCCAATGAGGTACAATTTAATCTTAAATCAGTTAATTGCCAATAGCACAGACCAATCATAGCACAGGCTTATCAACAGTACATATCATTAATGCTTTCATCCACAGACTCAAAAGTTACAACTTCTATGTACAGCATAACAAAATAGTAACATAAAAAAGTACTGTAGAAAGAGATTGAAATTGTTTGGTCATACTACAGGATTTCATCCACAGACTAAAAAGTAAAAACCTGTTTCTACCATGGGAAATTATCGGCTTGATTTCCACCACTCATTTCCTAAACAGTGGGTGGTCATCAAGCCCAGCGAAAGTAATGCTGAAGAGGTAATGATTATTATTATTTACCCTAAACAATAAGGCAACAGTTTTACCTGGTAAAAATGTCTTTGTGAATGGGCTTCCTTTGATTGGAGTTCCACGAGCAAGTACAGAAATCTTGTAGGTTCCAGCCTCTCTAACAGTAAATGATATTTTCATCATATTGCTATCTCCCCATTTTTGGCCACCATATTCACGTGAACTTACAATGAATGTATTATCATGCATGATCTCCACAAGGACATAGTCAGCTTCTGAGATTGGATAAGGAGTAAAATTCATCCTATAAAACTGTAAAAATAAAAAAAAGTTATTTTAAACACATTAACTGTGCAATGAAACTTACAATAGCCTTTTCTGGATATTTTATTTAAATTAATCAGACAGACAGTGAGAGTGCTTCCCATCCCTACTTGTCAGAAACTTATATTTTTCTAGGAAATGTTGTCACCCTCTTCGTTCCCTTCTTTACTCTAAGGTCGAGGTGTGATCCTCTGGTCCTCCAGGTTTGGGGTTGGGCTGAGGGCTGAATTTCCCTCTCCCAATAAAACCCTATTATTACAGAAACCCTTTGACCTTTCTAGCCCTTGCCTCATCTTCAGGTGATAAGAGATGAAGCTATCATTATCAGTCATGTAATCCATTTGTTAGTTGTGGGACTGATACTCTAGCCATTAAGCCTTTAAGCCCCAATATCCACATACAAATTCTCCAAACTGATCTCTTCATATTTCCTTAAAGAATGAGTTGAGAGAATTTGACAAAAAATCAAAGCATTTTCTCTTAGGTGATCATTTTATTAATTCTCATAACCTAGTCTCTTGAAAATGTATGGATATCATTGGGAGAAAATTGATGTTGGTCACTATTGCGACTTAAAGTGTTAAGGGAAGCATGTTAGGGTTGACTATCTTGTTTTGATACAATCATCTTCTGTTTTCTTTAAAAAAAAAAGACAATTATGCTGAAATGAAAGTAGCATAGAAACAGCAGAAAGGGTTGTATCTAAAAAAGATTCCACAGCCCCACTTCCACTAACAACTGCAATTTGGGCCATTCATATTCTTTTTTACTCAAATATTAATATATTAACAAATTATTACCTTAAGAAAAAATGACATGGATTCACCCACTATATGGGGGTCTTCCCAATCCCACTTTACTTTTGTGAGTCTAGGTTCCAGCGTCAAACCAAGCATGTATCGCATAAATGAAGACTGGTGCTGCTGACTCTTGGTTTTCAATCGAGAAAATCCAACGCAAAAAATGACCAGGCAAATTACAGTGGTTAAGGTGTATAAAAACATTTTACCTACAACAGAGAGAGAAAATAATGCATATAAGTGAATTTCATGAAAAAAAATTTTTAATGAGATATCAAATTTGAACAGATCTAGAGGAAGCAGAGTGTTTAATTTGTGGGCGATGTGTGACTGTACATGTAACTTTAATCTGATCCCTATATCCTATACCCAGGGGGGCTATATTAGAAATTTTGGGGCGGGAATGAACTGTTGGGACCCCCAACCCTTAGCTTATACCAAACCTAGTTCAGCTGAATTTTATCCTACTCTTATACTAGACAACACCCTCAGAATCCCTCCCTATCCTAAATTTGCTTTTTTTTCAGAAACTTCTGAGAAGGATGCTATCTCTGCTATTGAACTGAGTTGCGGGTAAATATAGATTTGCCCGCTTTCATCTTTTTTGAGAGTCAATTTCTGGTTGCAAGTAGTCTAGTAGTCCATTGCAAGGCTACCCCCTAGCAATATGTTGCCATTACGCCATTTATACACCTTGGTTAAGAGAGACAAAGCGTAGTAAAGTTCCTTGTCCAAGGAAACAATGCTACAGGTGAGGCTTCAACCCTGGACTTCCAGATCAGGAGTTTGAGGTGTTAACGCTCGGCCACACACGCCTCCTAGTACTTTTTCAAAAGAGAAATGCAGGAGTTTTCCAAGAGTTTACAAAGTACAACACTCAACCATAAGCTGTTATATGTCTCTTTAATGTCAGCTCAAGGTGTACTGTAGGTGCCCCCTTTTGAATTAAGCCTGCCCCTTCCCACCCTCCACTTGACTCAGAAATTTAAATAATCACCCTGTGCGCTTATCACTAGCTGCTGGATCTAGACTCACCTAAAAGTTTAATAGTCCACCAGGAAAATGAAAAGCCAACTGCTATTGCACTTTTGGCAGGGAAAGAGTCAACACATGATTCACCGTCCCATGAGTTAATTGCTGCTTGCAGCTTTGTAAAATCATCATCACTAAAAACAGTCTGTTCCAACTTAATAGTACTTAAATTACTGACCAAACTTTCCACACTGTTTATTCCTAGTGATATCAGCCGAGTATATTTACTTTCCAAGTCCAGCTGCTGAAGCCAAAATAACAGTTGAAGTTCATGTTTGGCTTTTTGTGCTGCAAGTTCTAATCTTTCTTTCTCAGAATTGAACGTAAAAAATCCCCAGAATGAGCCATGAAGGACAAGAAATCTGTGAGCATCAAGACTTGCAAACTTGGCTTTGGAAATGATCCCTATAAAAGAAAATACGGATATGTCACTAGGATTAAACTTCTGCTAAATTAAGAAATCACTACCACTGAGCCAGCTGCGTGTTTTCTCAGTATAATGACAAAAAGAAATAATATTGTTACGGTACACATTTCAGACTTTTACAACTTTGTTTTCCCATTTTAACAACCACACTTCCTAATACAAGCTTGTACTAAGTATTAAGCTTAACAGATCATCAGGCCACGACAGAAGTGCTGTCTAATAGTACATGGGTAGTAGAGTGACTATCAAGCTAGCACATTCCGAGGTTCCGAGGCTTGGGGGAATAAAACAAAAGAAGTCATCTAAGGCTCAGAAAGGAATAATACATTTCTTATGTTTTATTTCCCCTAGCCTCGGAGCCAAGTATGAATTTTAATATACTGAAAATGATCTATTGAACGTTTCAAAATACTGCAGTATCACAGTAAACAGAAGCTCTATCTTCAAAATGTAAAACTCCATCAGGTTAAAAACATGCAGAAAGGTTTAAGTTTCAAGAGACCTATGTTTGAAGATAATGCGGAAGTAAGTACCTCAGTAATCAGGACTTTTAAAAATAAATAAATATTATTTGGTGCTTTTCACCAAAGAACCTAATATCACATTCTTATATCTTATCCATGGGACAGGGCCATTTGTTGACATTCCATAATTTAGATCGAGCTCATTTTGCATTTCAATAAAAGTCGTAAGATGTCAGTTATTGCCTTAACTAGAAAGCAGAAAATAGGTAAAACTGAAGGCTGACACCACAACGTGCACCCCATGATGGCTAAACTTTTACGCATTAGACTGGAATTATTTGCCTGTGGGCAGGGAATTTGAAGGCAAATGTTTGACAGGAGCCGATTACTTATCGGCTCCTGTTTTTGAAAAATGTCAAACCCCCCCATCCCCCCATATGTCACATGTGTGACAGTTTTGACGCTGAAGCAAATAAGTGGGAGAGAAGGAAATACGATACTTATAAATGAGTCAAACAAAAACAAACTAACAAAAAAAAAAACAAAGACGTTTTGCATGCAATTATATTGCACTCGTAAGTGATTTCATTTGATCTTGATATGCTTTCAAAAGTGCCGCTGAAGTGTGCATAATTCAACACTTCAACAAAATACTCGTTGAGCTTCAGCAAAAGCTGAACAACATTAAAAACCAGTGTTTAACTAAATTTTAGCAAAACCATGAAGAACCACATGAGATTCAGCAGTTGACGTATTACCTTAAGCTGTTCAACGATCCATAAATCCGTAGGAATGGAAGTTGGGACTTGAAATCGGGAATCGACGATAAGCTTAATTTTATCATTTCAAAATGACATCGATCTAATTGTATAAAGCATACATATTTTTTAGAAAATAAAGATAATTGAAGCTTACCGAATTTATGCAACTTAACTTCGTAATCTAGAAGATCGTTTTCCTTTAGAAACGAGCGCAATTCGGCTTTTTCTTGCCGCAAAGCGAAGTACACTTGAACACGATAAAGGAAAAACCCCAAACCAAGAACAAAAACCGCAAGTTGTCTTATCATCGTGTGAGTGAGGTGTGCATTATCCAACGTTATACAACTATGAAACTTTCACGTTACTTCGTCATCCGTGTAGATCCTCATTGTGTGGAGAGTCTGGACAAAAGATACTTGACAGTTAGGCACTATTCCAAAGATTTTTCTTCCGAGAAAACGTGCGGACACAACTTAGAGCGGGCTGTCTTGAAGAACCCTTAGCTCGCGGGCGCAGGTTTTGGTCAGTAAACCGATTGCGTGACCATAGATAACGTGACCTTTCATTGAAATGGACTATTAAGTATCAACAAACAAAAAACAAAAACAAGGACGGGACATGCAAAGAGGGACAGACCCTGTCATTAACAAACTTAACTTCCCCGTGTACCAGGAGTGATGGTCTTACTAACGGGCAAAATGAAACCTCATTTGCAGCAAGTAAGTTTTCCGTGTTAGTGTTGATGGAAAAGTATGACAAGCTTTGCCTAGACACGGAAAAAATGTCATATTTTTCCGTTTCCGTTTCAGTTTTTCCGTATTTTTCCAATGACAATATGTGTCAACTTTCTGCTAATTGCTTTTGCTTTGCTCAGAATTTTTGCATTGATTTGGCATTTTTCGTGTTTCGGCAAATTTGCAAAATTTAGGGTGGGCCACGGGCATGGCCTAGCCCAGGTTTACGTTGGATTGTTTAGAGGATCCAGCAGAGCCCGAGGTGATTCCTCATGATGAATTGTTCTAACTTAAGGGAACTTAATAAATTATTTGCCAACAAAAGTTTCTTTTCCATCATGTTTCTTTTTAATTAAAATTTAAACATTCACCAGTTCTGATTCTGACTGTTTTTGACTGTGCTCGATTGATCAAGTCGCAGAATACGAAAGTACATAAAGCTGTATGAGTCAGGTTTATTTTCATCTGTTTTTAAATATGTGGATGTGTGTTAAGTGTTTGATCAGTATTGCATATTCGAGCATGTTTGTAAGGTTTAGCAGATGTTCTGTATTACATACTTATCATAAAGGCTTTCTCAAGGCCCCGGACCTCTTAAGGATTTTTGAAATTGTTTTTAGGGAGAAAAAGAAGACTACAAAAGCCCCAGGGTATGGGGTATAAATAGTAGACTAAACCCCGCTTCCCTGGGGGCAGAGACCTCAGAAGACAGTATCGGGAATATTTACTGGAAAGAAAGAGCCCTGTACTGGTATCGCGGTACTGAGGGGGCCAGGAGGGCCAGGAGGGCCAGGAGGGCTCCTGGGAAGGGTCACGAGCCTGGAAGGGTCTAAGGCCGCAGGTACCGGAATTTGCCTAAGAGTAGGCAGGTAAGACGACATGTTTATCCGGGTATCTTATCGTATTAATTTTTTCCTTCATTTACTATTGTGCAAAGCCTGTTTGTTTTCTATTTCATCTATTGCGTGCATATTTATGTTAGCATAAACTCATTTTCCGAACAGCGGTTGGTAATCGAGCCTACAATCCAATTCGAACATGCAAAAATGTGTTCATTCGGAATAGAACGAGACGAAAGACAAGTCAACCAATCACACAACAGCGAGGTCTGATCAGGGAACTTCGAAGGCGACGGCAACGGGAACGTCAAAAAAGCAATAGGATTAAGGTGATGTCACACGAGACGATTCGCAACGACGATAACGACATCTGCTATTTGGAGAATATTTGTGGAGCTGAACAACCCTAAACGAGCACTATCGAAGGTGAACTTAACATCGATGGAGGTAAGCATGTTTTAGCTTTGTTTTTAAACTAGGAATTATTTTGAATGAATAATAAATCAATTATTGAATTCGTCTTTCGTATCATATGAAGAATTATGGAAATCTCGGAGGGTGTTATCCGCCTCGGCCGCAACATCCTCCTCGATCTCCATAATTCTTCATGAGATACTCAAAAGGGAAATTAACACGAAAGAGTCAAAAGAGAGAGTAACATTTCAAAATGAAGGAAATTAACGTGACGTTGACAAAGAAACACAACTTGTTGAGACAAAAGGAATAAAGTTAGACATTTAATCCGAAATGGAAACTTTGTTCGTGGAACTTTTCCTGCGTACAAAGAGTAAGAAATCTGGCCACTTCGAGGGTTCTTCACAGTTGTACTGATACTTGCACATCTCCACCTTGATAAAATACTCCTATACTTTCTTATGCTCCAAGAATGTGAAAAGTGTATCGGTTTACAGCAATTAACGCTACTGAAATAAAAAATTCGCGTTCATTTCACGAAGTGTGAATTTCATATAATAAGGCAATGATTGGTTAATGATAGCCTCTGGATACCATGTGGATGAATAAATCATAACTGACGCTTGTCCAGCTAGCCTAAAGAACCCATTCCCAAGCTCATTTCTTTTTATCTTCTTAGAATTCTTTTCTCACAGAGGACCAAAAGCAGGACGTTGTGGGCTGAATTTGCTTCGAGTTAGACCACAATGTGTAATCGCTTTTTGAGAAAACTCTGTTCAAACAGTAACGAATACGAGCGACAAAGATTCGGTAGTGATAGAAGTGTCCTCCACATCACAGAACTAGAATAATAAACCATTTTTCAGAGCAAGAAAAAAAATAGGTATTTTATTTCACCTTAAATTAACCCCCAGCGCAACTTTACAAAATGGTCTTGTATGTCAGTAGTATATATTAAATAACTCATTTAAAACATAAATATTTGGTATGTAAAAGAGACTATTCACTCGATAAAAATAATATTGTGCTATTTGGGAGTCATTTCTGATGGATTAGTTAAATTACCTTGTCACTAACTTTAGAAATTGAAGTTAAAGTGATAACTGCAAATTTGCTTAATCGTTAAAACTGGTCAAAATAATGGTCATTTTTCTAGACTTGATAAAGACACTTTTGCTCGTGAATTGAACATGACTTCGAAAAACTTGCAACTTTCAACTGAGTGTGCAAAAGTTAAGCCCTTTTAAGATATCAAACTTTTTTCTGCCAACTGAAGCTAATGAGCTAGAACAACAGACAACGTCTAGTGGCATTCCCGTCAATAAAACTGATCACAGCAAATATAGAAAATTCAATTCAAAATAAATTCAGTAACAAACCACATTCGGCGAGTATGTTACAGTTTTTTACGGTTTTATTTCGGATTACATGTCTAAACGAAATCAAATTGGGAGAATTTTAGATTCACCACCACTGTAATGACAATCACATCGATAGACAAAAAAGATTAGTACTGTTCTGACATCAAAGAAAGTGCAATCCATTCATTATCCTAGAAATAAGACTTCTAAGCGATGTAACTACACTAGAAACATACACTTGATACAGAGTGATTCGAAAATGGCTGAAGGTAGAATCAGCCTGAATTAGGAACCAGTCCCTCCAGCTTCTGCAGTGCTGCAGGCGTTGCTTAGTAACAGCGCGGATACAGCAGCGTGACATTGTAATAAACGAGCAAGACGTGGCACTAGTCTTGAGACTGTAGTCTATACTCCGTAATAGGTCGTTAGTCTTGAGTAACAGCAGCAATTGCCTGGGTACTCGGTTCAGAAGTTCATTTATTTGCGTCACGTAAGTTGCGGCGCTTTCTCGGATAAGCTCTGCCTGTTGAGGGAGAATAAAAAAAGATATCTCTGAGAGAAAATCGCACTTTGTTCAAGACGACACCATGGTCATTTTAGCCAGTCACTGAAGTTCTTTCAAATCCCACTGATTCACATTCACCTGCTTCATCCGCAGTTCGCATTGTCTCTTACACAGTCGTTCACGTATATTGACGTCATTACGTCACTGTTTAGAGTATTCTTCTTAAGTATACGAATTTACATAGAAAAGGGCGTGTTGGAGAGTGATTGAGTTCAAAAGTTAACAGATGTTGTTTAACTTAGCAGTCTGGGCAAATGAGACTTACAAAAAAGGCCTTCGTCCGATTTCCGAGCTCCCGAGTGACAAAATTAAAGATGGCGGCCATGGCATAATGAACGAAAACAGGGGCACCCAACGACCGAATGTTTCCAAATACGTCAGAAGTGTCTCAGATGGTTTTCTACATGCTTTAGAAGCCTGTTTGGCTAGTTCGGAGCTTCCCTTAAAGCTATTTATCTGTTAGGGTGTCTTGGGGGAACTTTGGTCGTGACGACAAACGTCGAACTTTTCATTCATCGACTCTAATCCCTTCGATTAAGTACATAAAAAGATCGACGTTTGAATCAACTAAGTTCGACATATCTAAGTTGGGTCGACCCATGAATTAAGATGGAGTGGCCCAAATGGGAATTTCAACTGTCGAGCAACTTGGTTTCAAACTTCTCATGCGCCGAAACTAATTTACATAAATTACTATAATCTATTTTCACTGGTAAGCATTGTAGACCATTTTAAATCGTGAAAATGAATGGAGTCGCACCAATCAAGTTCGTCGTCTGAATATATCATATATATCATTTCGGTCGACCTAAATGGGTATTAAACTCGCTACATGAATAGTACGACGTTCGAACTGGTGCTTTTTCGTCTTATCCGAAACTACTTTGACAGGACCAGGCCGAAGTTCGAGGACATGGAGTAGCCATACGTTTATTAGAAAATTCTAGGGGGCGTTGACTCTCTGAAGAAACTTTCGCTTGCCCAAACATACGCCTGCATTGCAGGATAGAGAATGTCAAATGACGACTAAGAAATCAACTCAGACATACAACACCCTAAAACATACCTCATGATCAGTAACTGGACCCTGGTCAATTCCAGTTGTGACAACATCCCAAGATCTAGCTGTTAATATGCAAGCCAGTAAACCATACATCTCTCCTACACCTAATGCTTCACTGCTCTGCTTTACACCATCAATGTCTGACCTGATAAGGGCCTGCCACATCTTACAGTACTGCACGCGAAAATCACTCGATAATGTCTAGGAAGAATAGAAGGAAATTTCAATCAACTTTCGTTTTCCCCCCACTCAAATTCACTCAAAGAACAATTGATTTGGCAGCATGCTTACGATATACTTGGAACATTCATATTTGCTTGTTGCATACTACACTTTTGGCCATACCATAATGAGAACGATTCAGTCAAGGAGG